GAGGGAGGGACTAATTCGTAGGGGAAAATGGGGGAGGAGAGTGTGCCTCAAGGAGAAATGCATCCATTTTTCAGTCGGTGTAACAAGCAGACACCCCTCTGCCTGCACAGAAAGTGGAATGCTCCAGCTTGCTCTGGGCTCTGTTGTTGTGCAGAGCTGCAGAAGGCCTGACAGAGCCAGCTAGACAGAGAGAGAAGGAAGGGTGAGATACATAGACAGAGGCAGACACACTGTGGATCGAGAGCCTGTGAATTCATTTCATCACCCAGCTCAACCAGCGGCACCAGAGAGGAAGGAGAGAAAGGGGAAGAGGGAGACCAGAGGCAGCCTCAGTGAAAGCAGGGAAAGTGAGAGAGAGGCAAGGTGAAGGAGAAGAAGGAAGGAAGGAAAGGGAGGGAGGGAGGAAGGAGGCTCAGGCATGAGGAGGGGCGCCTGACATTGCTGCTATCGCTATCAGCTCACATACACACATCGACACAGGCACACACACTCTCAGGCAGATTGTGCACGGCACAGAAGCTGCTCTTTTATTATCCTTTTGTGGAGCCTTGTCCTCCATCCTTTCATCTCCTCCAAGCAAAGAGGACAAGAGAGACACAGAGAGAGGAGGAAGAGGAGGAGGTAGAAGGACGAGGAGGAGGAGAAGGAGGGGAGGCAGTAACCCTCTCCTCTCCTTTACTCAGACACACAGCTGGGAGAGATAGGGGGAGAAGAGTGAAAAAAAAGAGAGAGAAAGCAGCTTTCTGTTCTATTTCGCCGTCTCCTGTGGTCCCTCGGCCAGAGAGCGGCTAACAGGCACCGCTCATGTCCGTGAACTCGGAGAAATCCTCGTCCCCTGAAAGGTAATACCTCATCTTCCTCCTTGCCTCACTCTTTATCCTCATCATTTTGTCTCCATATGATTGCGTGCATGTTCTTCGTTTTATTTTGTATTCTCACACCACATCCCTCTCCCGCCACCATCCCCCTCAGCACCTCCATGTTTTGTCTCCTGTCTCTTTCTCTTTCTGTTTCTGTCTGTGTACCCTAAGCTGGTTTCTTCTATTGTCTGGGTCACAGCAGTGAGACTGTAGTGGGGGGAAAAAATGCAGTGGTTCATTGTTGCATGGTGTCTAAACATTTCAGATGGCTACTAAAACAGAGCATCCTTACCTACAAACACATAGCAGCATGTGCGGTGCATACACGTCGTCTTAAAACATAATCTCTTTCGCACGCTTCGACACAGATGCACACTGGAGGTGATGCTGCCTTCTAAGACTGTAACATCTCCTATGACAACAGCAACAAGAATACATTCATTTGCACACGCCGACACACACATAGTGCACAGAGCTTACACAGCAAGAGTGTCAACACACGTCAACATTAGCACAGCCAGCAGCAGCAGCAGCAGCAGCAGCAGCAGCAGCAGCAGCAGCAGCAGCAATGCATTTCAGCAGCAGTGCAAGACAACAACTCACCACATGACGCACCTCTGTGCATAACATTACTGAACAATGGCACCTCTGAATGCCACACAACTTCTTTACAGCACACAAAGGCAGTTTGACCATATTTTGGCCAACTGTAAATTAAGTGTAGATATAAATACTGTGGAACATCCAGTGGTGGTGTTCAGCATGAAGAGCAAGGTCACAAGGCATTATCAGTCACATGGCTCACTGTGGCTAATTGAGTAGACACACTCGCATCATACCAGACAAAGACACACAAATAATAGCTTTGTTCGAATTGTCATGACAGGATACATCGCAGTAAATGACGAGCACACACATCAAGGCAGGCCATATGGTTCAGACGCCAGTCCTCATCTCACCCTTGTAATTCAACTGAGATTAATGGACTCTTTAATAATTTGTACCTATTTATGCCTAATTAGACCCTCCCAAGCAGACTTACAAGATCAAAGAGAACACAGTATTTTATTTTTTTACAGAGTTGCTTGGATTGTCCTGATTTAGAAAGTACTTTGAGTGTCGTATAATTCTAGGAGTCAAGTTTGTGGTTTTTTTAATTGAAGAAGAGAAAAGAAAGCAGGAGAACAAACGCTCTGCTTTTGGTAGTTTAAACAGCCAATCTAGAAGTGAATCTGCGAAAGTCGTGACGCATGTGTGCAGACCTCTTCACCAAATGTTTAAGAACCCATATTCATTCAGATCTAATCGGACGAAGCCCACATTCCTATTTCAGTGTGCAGAAAAGAGCGGAAAGAGCTCGATTTGACGGGTGCTGGAGGGTGAGGAGCGGGCAGACTGGATGACTCAGGTAGCCACTGATGCCGTGCCAAGTACGATCAGGCAGAGCTGCTGCCATCCACACAACCTAGTGCCAGGCCCCAGACTGGCACACTTAAACACACAGCACAGTGGGCACACAGATAGGCAAAAGTAAATGGGCACTAACCATATCAGGCATTAATACACGGGCAGTTGGGCACAGAGGAGAGTGGCCTCACAAAGTGAAGTTTAATTTGGAGTAAGAGCCAATGGCAGGGGATATACTCATACTGAAACAACATATTGAGGAAAAAGATCATACTTATGTGTAGCATCTAAACAAAGACAGCAGGAGTATCATCAACCAGCCTTGCTGTGATGAAGTTTGCGGATTTCATCACTTGGCTAGGTTTTCCTTTCCTCTATTGTTTGGGTAACAGCACTCTGCCTGTAATTAAGAATAATGCAGTGGTCCCGTGTTGCATGGCAGCTTCCACTGAAGACTTACAGTCATACACGCACTGCTGCCCCCTTTAACTTCTGCCACATCTCATATGACCACAGCAATAACACAGCTGACTGCCTGTTTTCCCCAGGTGAACCATCGCCATAAACACTTCTAACAAATTTGTCAGATAACTAGTCATGATGTTTTATCTCTTTAGCTCTTAGAATTAACATATAAATACCTAATAATATCCCTATCGGTTATGAACCTCTGGAGTAAAATACTGCTGTGCTCAAAGCTGTATTTAGATGCCACAAGCTGAACAGTGCAACAGGGATAAGAGGGGAATTTGCTACTTTGTGAGTGCAACGTGGACAGTTGTACTTGCTTTTAATAAAATAAGTGCATAATTATAACATTTATTTGCAGTAGTTGGCAGTTGAATGTAGAAATTGATGTGGCAAAAGATTAAGCTTATGGAGACACAGGTGTTGTATGCCCCTATCCACTTACATTTACGTTAAAGAATTCAAAAAACAAACAAAAGGAAAAAAAAAAAAAAAAAACCCAAAACATTAATTTCCACTTTCAGCTTGGTCAAAACAGGCTAGTTGGAGCTTGTATAATTTGTATAATGGCCTAATTCATCATTAATAGAGATATTAGTTGTTTAATTAAATAAGTATCTGTATTTAATTAGTTTGTTGCACAGCATGAGCTCATGAGAAAGTTTAAACTGTTCTTCAGTTTTATTAGTGGATTGTACTCAAGTGTGAATTGAACTGCTAAATCTATATTGGGCTTGTGTTTTGAGACAAATCAGCACATTTTCTCCGTCTACAACACCATCTGGACCCGAGACACCATGCACACACACACAGACAGACAGACCCACACACGCACACACAGACACACAATTCCGTAGTGCTTCATTTAGGATGTGCAGCGACATGTTTGTCAACAATAAGGCAAAGTGGATTGGATGTGCGTTAAAGTAAATGGATGGATGGGCTGGGCCTGAAAAGAGCAAGAAGTGGCACAGTGACAAATTTCTCGTGGAGCACTTGCATTAGGAAGACGATCCCCGTTGTGTAACTTGGCACTTGAGGCATGGTGGAGATGGATGAGGACAAGGAATGTGTGTGTTTGCGCGCGTGTGTGCGGGGACATTTAAGTGTTTTGACATCCTCTTTGCGTGTGAGCAGCTTAAAGCTTCCTTGCGAGGGGTAACAGCACGTCATTTTAGGTCATAACCGATGCTGTTGGGTGGAGGGCTTATGTCCTTTGAAGAAACTTTCTTTAGGGATTAAACAAAAGTTGAATAAACAAACACACGGAGGTCAAGAGTTTACGAAGCATGGCTTTGTTGCCAAGCAGGCTTTAGCTCATGTAGTTTTTGCCGCTGTTGAGGGGCTGGAGTGCTGAAACATGCTGGGTAAACCTCTTCTGATTGTCTACGTTCTGTCAAGCAATGTTTTTGTAAGTTGGAATAACTGTAGTGCTGAGTTAATCTCTTGGGAATGCCACGTCAACTTTAAACTATGCATGTAGTATATAAAAAAAATGGCATTTAATCCTTATGCATGATTTTAGCGCACTTGTGTAGCAGTGCTTGTGAGTGTGCATCTATACCTTGCTAGTATATATCTCATGTCCTACTTCATCTACTCATCACTGATGAAACACAGGTTGCTAGCTTCATCCACATACTCTTATGCAGCCTCCCTCCTGACTCCCTTTTCGACTGCGTGCTCTACCACCGTTTTATTGGTGCTTCTTTTATTTCTTCTGTACTTGTAAAGTTCTACTCTAATTGAATAACTGTTCCAGCTCTGGGGAAAAAAAAAGAAAAGAAAAAGAGGAGAGATTAAACTAAAGAAAACAATAAAGAAAGAAGAAAAGAAAAGGACAGCCAGAGCAGCAGAGGTTGTTGAGTGTTGGAAAGTGTCCAGACGGTCAGTAAGCCAGGCCCATGCAGCAGACCGCATCCCATCCAGCAGCTTTCACATTCACGCAGTGTATGCAGCTTCGACTGGCCTATATGGCCTCCACCATCTTCTCTGGTTTGACCCACATCACTGTAGGCGCACATGGGCACACAAACACACACACACAGTCATGAGCAGCCCCAGCCATTCCGCGACATGACAATATCTAATGAAGCGTGGCAGCGAGCTAGCTAGCAAACTAGCCAGCCTGCCCTGCCTGTCTGGCTTTCTGGCCTCCATTATCCCCACCATGCCACCAGCCCCCCCTCTCATGTCTGAAAGGAAACAGAGGAACGCCTTTACTTTCTCTCCTGCAGTCTCTTTTTTTTTGTTTTTTGTCGTATTTTGCCTCCAGTCTCCGTTTGGGACAGATGGGGAAGGGGACACCTCATGCATGCCGTCTCTTCTGTCCCTATGAGGGCTTTTGGTATTGTATCAATGGTAAATAGAAGGCAATGTGGGTGTATGTGCTGCCGAAACTGCCTTGAAATCCTTCGGGCTTTACAAACTAGTTTAACCTGACTGCATTGCTGCGTCACCACACAGTTACTCTGGGAATTTCCACTCCGTTCAATTAAATCCTATGTGGTTAATCAGTAATAGGAATCACTGAGTCAAACATCCAGCCGCCAGAAACAAGACACCTCACGAGTAGTGTGTCAATCGCCATGGCAATGCCCCCAAAGAGCTGTCATGTGATCCGGACTCAGGCACCTGATCTGCTGAGAGTGCATCTGTAGGGTGGCGGTGTCACCGTGTGTAGTGTGGGGTCAAAGGTCACGCTGAGGTATCAGAATGAAAAATCCATACACTGTAGGCTGTTATTGTTGTTGTGTGACGAAACTGAAATCACTGTTTGATTACTAATGATTCTCTTGTACATGGAATAAACAGCCCTGTATTGTTTTTTTTCAATGCTCCGTCACTGTTTACCTTGGCAGCTACACCACTACAGTGCTTCTTGTTGAAAAACTAAATTCAAGAGCGCAAACTCTTCCGCATTTGTTTGTCTTCACCAATAAAATGGGAAAGCACTTTTTTCCCTTATTCTCTGCACTACTGCATTCCACAGTAAAAAAAAAAAAAGAAAGAAATTGTTTGGTTTTGGCTAAAGTAGTGAGGAAATTACCATTAAAATGATATTGTTTTGTATGAAAAAGTCAGAATTTTGCTACTGAATCCACATG